AGGCAACAAGCGAAACATATTTTGAGATGCAAGACCAAATCCGCCCAGGAGAAGCTTTCAAGGCAATACGGTATAAATTACTACAGCGCACTGTTGGATCTTGAATACTTCGACATCATCAGATTCTGCGCAACTGATCCGATGCACAATCTCTTTCTTGGTACCCCTAAATATCAATTTAAACTTTGGGTGTGCGAAGGTCACTTAAGTGCTAAACAGTTAGAAACTATCGAAAGTCGTATTGAAAGCATGGAAGTACCCGTTGATATTGGACGGCTGCCTAAAGCGATATCATCTAACTACGGATCGTATACAGCCGAGCAGTGGAAGAATTGGACCCTTATATATTCATTATACGCATATAAGGTGTACTTACTGACCGCCAATTGCAATGTTGGAAAACATTTGTATTGGCATGCAAGTATCTATGCAAACCCGTTTTGTCACATGTTGATATTTTGAAAGCAGATAACTGCCTTCTAAAGTTTTGTACAAAATTTCAAGACCTATATGGAGAGACAGCTTGCACCCCCAACATTCATTTACATTGTCATTTGAAAGAGACCATTATAGACTATGGTCCAATATATTCATTCTGGTGTTTTAGTTTTGAACGTTACAACGGCATCTTGGGTAGCATAAAGACGAACAATAGGTCAATAGAACTCCAACTCATGCGAAAAGTTATAACATTACGCTGCGTTGATAACATTTCACTCGATCAGGATTTTTATCCCTATTTTGGAGATGTTGTTTCATCACTGACTAAACATGGAGCGGAATTAAATACTTCTGAAAACAGCAACTGCGTTGGAGTAGGCAATTTATCTAAACTGTTATCATTTTATCAAATGGACACAGGACTCCCATTGCACAGTTTAGATTGGAAAAACCTGTCAGCGCTATCCCTTCCAACGTTTTATAAGGAAAGCTCTCTTGATCCTGATGATATCAACATTTTACGTGATGTTTACAAAATCATTTTGCCAGGTACAATCATAGCGGAAAATTTGAGCACTTCAATCCAAAAATTCGGAACATTAAAAATTTTCAACCAACAATTTGGTTCCACGTTCGAGTACAGAAGTAAGCGATCTACTGGTATACTCGCGTCATGGCCAAAAGCCGATGGAAGTATTTCCGAAGACGTGTTGGAGCAGGTATTTGGGCTTGTTCAGTTTTATTTTTTGCATTCAAAAAAATCAGGCGAGGAATTCACCAAGCATGTGTTCGCCTGTGTGAGCTGGTGCCAAACAGCTAAAAATTCAATGTTTAATGACCTTAACCCACTTGTCGTTGCAAGCAGTACAGACATGTATCCCGGTGGTCCATGACGATTTTTACCTGTCCAAAGAATTTCGGCAAAATGTGGGTTTGCCGAAACGACAGATAATTATAAAAACACGTACATAATGGCTATCTTTAAAACCAGGAACGGGGAATCGAAGAAGGGAACGGGGAAGGGAACGGGGAATGATAAAACCAGGAATGCGAAAAGCTGGAATCTTTAAAACAAGGAATGCGAAAAGCCGGAATCTTTAAAACAAGGAATGGGAAAAGCCGGAATCTTTAAAACCAGGAATGGGAAAAGCCGCAATCTTTAAAACAAGGAATGAGAAAAGCCGCAATCTTTAAAAACAGGAATGAGAAAAGCCGGAATCTTTAAAACCAGGAATGGGAAAAGCCGGAATCTTTAAAAACACGAATGAGAAAAGCCGGAATCTTTAAAACCAGGAATGAGAAAAGCCGGAATCTTTAAAACCAGGAATGAGAAAAGCCGGAATCTTACGGCCGGAAGTTTGTAACTAAATTAGTTACAATTTCCGCGCGTAATACAAAATATGCTAATTTGACATATTATCTGTTATATGGAACATAAACTGCATTCTTTTGTGGGAGAAGGAATGGATAATACATATATAATTACACAAATGATGAAACGAACACAAGGACTGACATGGTTAGTTTGTAAACACTTAAATTTGTTGATTTGGTCCTATTCATAAACCTACAAAGTGGAGCTTTGCGCGTTGCTATCTACCGTTTAATATCTACATTGCTATTGAAATTGAATAATGTTTAGTTGGAAATGAAAACTTTTTGGATCCAAATTTGAATTTCTAAATTTTCATATGAATTGCATACTGCATGATATAAAATATGCAAGAACAACTTCATTAAATACACAATAGATTTTATCTTTTCTATATTCAGTTCATTGCATGATGTATTTACAACTACCTAATATATCAGTATAAATCTATGCGAACAACATTTTGCTCCATTTAATACATACATGTTAAGCTTATTTTGCAATATATATTTGTCATAGTTCATGGTAAAAGCTTATCATTATTGAATCAGATTACCCCGGAACAATGCACTACACTTTTGTTGTCCCAAATATAATATAATTTTGCTTGTAAGTAAAATTGTATAGAAAATGAAAATATTTTAGTGCATTTTATACCTTAATTAACTCAGATTATAATTAAAAAGTTACATTCTCACCCAAGGTTTTAATGACTGGAGGCTGATTAAAAATATACAATAATAATCTGTAAGTAACTAACAGTTGCAATTAATTAAAATCTTGGCTCTTTGAGAACAACTTTGTGTTGGGATGGAATTTTGGAATATATCCTATTGTTGTTTACATACTGTAGAGTAGATTTATATTAAGTAGCAGCAAATACACTATACTGGTAATATTCCAAAATTTAACAACATATCTCAATTCTTTTATCAGTTATATGGAACATAAACTGAATTATTTTGTGGAGGAAGGATTGAAGGAATATATAATACATATATAATTATGCAAACAACAATTAATTTTGCTGCACTTAATACATTATTTTGCACTATATATAGTCATTGTTCATAGTAAAAGCTTTTCATATTGAATCATGCTAGCCTAGAAAACCACAGCTAGGTTTTCCCTACACAATTTCTAAAGCATTTTTATTTGAATAAATTATATGTAAAAGTAAATGCTGGTTGGAAATTATACTTTTCTAAACCAGACCTAGGATATATTCCAAAATTCCATCCCAACACAAAGTTGTTCTCAAAGAGCCAAGATTTTAATTAATTGGAACTGTTAGTTACTTACAGATTATTATTGTATATTTTTAATCAGCCTCCAGTCATTAAAACCATGGGTGAGAATGGTAACTGTTTAATTATAATCTGAGTTAATTAAGGTACAAAATGCACTAAAATATTTTTATTTTCTATACAACTTTACTTACAAGCAAAATCTTGTTATATTTGGGACAACAAAAGTGTAGTGCATTGTTCAGGGGTAATCTGATTCAATAATGAAAAGCTGTTACCATGAACTATGACAAATATATATTGCAAAATAAGCTTAGTATGTATATATTAAATGGAGCAAAATTGTTATTCGCATAGATTTATACTGATATATTAAGTAGCTGTAAATACAATGTACTGAATATAGAAAAGGTAAAATATATTGTGTATTTAGTGAAGTTGTTCTTGCATATTTTATATCATGCAGTATGCAATTCATATGAAAATCTGGAAATTCAAATTTGGATCCAAAAAGTTTTCATTTCTAACCAAACATTATTCAATTTCAATAGCAATGTAGATATTAAACGGTAGATAGCAACGCGCAAAGCTCCACTTTGTATGTTTATGAATGAGACCAAATCAACAAATTTAACTGTTTACAAACTAACCTTGTCAGTCCTTGTGTTCGTTTCATCGTTTTTTTGTAATTATATATGTATTATCCATTCCTTCTCCCACAAAAGAATGCAGTTTATGTTCCATATAACAGATAAAAGAATTGAGCGTACTTGAATTAGTGGAAACGCTAAGTTTGGCTGCGAAATTTGGTAAAATACGGAAAATATAGCCATGTCAAATTAGCATATTTTGTATTACGCGCGGAAATTGTAACTAATTTAGTTACAAACTTCCGGCCGTAAGATTCCAGCTTTTCTCATTCTTGGTTTTAAAGATTCCGGCTTTTCTCATTCCTGGTTTTAAAGATTCCGGCTTTTCTCATTCCTGTTTTTAAAGATTCCGGCTTTTCTCATTCCTGTTTTTAAAGATTCCGGCTTTTCCCATTCCTGGTTTTAAAGATTCCGGCTTTTCTCATTCCTGTTTTTAAAGATTCCGCCTTTTCTCATTCCTGGTTTTAAAGATTCCGGCTTTTCTCATTCCTGTTTTTAAAGATTACGGCTTTTCCCATTCCTGGTTTTAAAGATTCCGGCTTTTCTCATTCCTTGTTTTAAAGATTCCGGCTTTTCCCATTCCTTGTTTTAAAGATTCCGGATTTTCCCATTCCTTGTTTTAAAGATTCCGGCTTTTCGCATTCCTGGTTTTAAAGATTCCGGCTTTTCCCATTCCTGGTTTTATCATTCCCCGTTCCCTTCCCCGTTCCCTTCCTTGATTCCCCGTTCCCTTGTTTTAAAGATAGCCCGTACATAATCAGCCCCATGACGCGTTTTTTTGTGTCATAACCTGCACTATGTATTAGAACTGTTCAAAGACCAAATAAACCAAAGCCTGAAACCCTATTTTATTGTTGTAGGTATCTTATTTCATTATTTGTACAGTACACTTAGAAGATTAAGATTCATCCAATAATTCTTCTATAATACATTGCCTTGTCACCAAAGTCTTTCAACAACATTGTATACTATGTAGGTAATAAACGTGATTAAACTTAACTGTAATTACTTATTACTTTTATAAAACCCGAGACTGTATACATTGGATATCTGAAATAATTTGCCTTATAGTTGGCCTTTTCTCAGGTGTACCATGTATGCATTGTTTTGCTATGTTTTGCGATTGAGGTGACTGGTGATAACACTAATGAAATAATCATTCCAAGAGAATAAATATCGCTGGCTGGCGATTTTGGATGACTCCCATTTATTACTTCAGGAGTAATATGTCTGTACTTATTGCTGTATCTCTCCTTTTCTTTGGAATTTAAATTGTATTTCTTTGCTTCACTATTTTTTTTTCATTTTGCCAAAATCAATGATTACCGGATAAAATGAATCGGATTGCTTTCTTATCACAATATTATTACCCTTAATGTCACCGTGAATAAACCCTTTACTATGAATATAAGAAAGAGCTTCGGATATCTTTTCCAGAATGTTGGCCCATTTAGGAATACTCAAAGACAACATACCCTTCACAGCATTTTGTAATGTCACACATTGTCCATCAATACTATAAAATTCGGTCACCAATAAATAGGGTTTATTTTTGACATTTGCACCAAAGAGAAATGGCAGACCTTTAAAGACAAGAATGCCAACAGTTAAGATTTTGCTTATTTAAGGCTGCATCCAACTTGCAAAATAAAGGACAACACATTAAAATTGTCATTTTTAAGCTCTTTAGCATTCCCATTGAGAGGTAAAATTATCTAACATTTTGAAATAAAATAAGTAGGGCTAATATTTACTGATTGGTAATGTATTTTCATGTTAATAAGTTAATCACTTCAATAATATTAATAAAGTGTTGTATACCTGGATGATCAAATGCACTAATCATCAGGGCTTCCTTCTCCACATCTGATGAGAGTGAATTGTCCTTGAAGTACTTTACGGCAACTATGTGACCTCTATAAACTTTCTTCCTGCAAACTCCAAATGTTCCCTCTCCAATGTCATGCTTTCCATCATCAAAGTCTTTGAGGCTAATCTCTTCAATTTGATGTACATTTCTGAATTATAAAGATGCAACAATATAAAATCAATTAATGTGTATGCAAATAAAGTTCATAAACTACACTAACTGCTGAAGTTTAAGCCTAAGTTTATACAAAAAAACTGTAAATTATGGCACATTCTGTTTATCTTACTAACAAAAGGTTTGGTTGATGTGAAGGTATCTAATTAAAAAAGACACATATGATTACAATGAAAAAGGCATATGTGAATACATGACCATCAGTGCCACATATAGGAGTAATGTATATGTACCATTGCCTATACACACTCAGAACATAAGAAATCAGATTGTATTGAATGTAAAAACTCAAACAACAGAAACTCTTTTCCACATATTTCTAGCCTTATGAAATTGTTACCCTAGTGCAAAAATCCTCATACATTTAGTTTTCTAGTCTTGTACAATTTATCAGCAGTCTGTGTTGATAAAGTTTACCAGTAAATGTAAAAAATCATAAGGTTTGTACTGGTGTCACACTTACAGATACACACAAACATATATACACTTGGCCTTCTTTAATGATTTAAGCAACATGCTCACTATATACCAATACCAACAAATAGGGTTGAACCGGGTATGAAAGGTCATAAAAGTGCTTTTTGAACCGATTTCGAATAAAAATAAACACTATTCTCTTATACTTTTAATACTTACATGTTGCTGGCACTGTGTAACATTTTTTCTTTATCCCATAGTCGCCAGAAATCTACAGCACGCTTTCTTTCTTTCTTTACACGAACGACAAGGGCCTTTATCTTGTTTACTTGTTTAAGATCTTTATTTTCGGTTTTTCGTTTCTTCTCTAATCGTCTCTCACTTTTAGACATGGATCTATTTCTCTCTCGCTGCTTCTTTTTTCTACTACGTCTTCTGAGACGAATTTCCTCGATCGTGTTTGGCCTTGAAATCCGACGTAGCTTTGCAGGTAAATGATCGCTCTGTTTACCTGATTGCACTGGGATTTCTCCCAGATCGTTACGTATCCCACCATTAGCAACTGCGCCACTCGCTGTGTGGATTGCCATGTTAAAATGCGCCATTTCAACCGACTTTACGTAAGCTCATACGACTAGATAAAACAGAGACAAGCATTTGAGATTTCTTCTTGTTAGTTGTTCCCTCGTTCGTAACAAATGAAAATTCCCGCGCGCGCCCTTTGTTTACATATGCCTTACAAATATTACCCACCCCTACTCCCTAAGAAAAATAATTAACTATTTCTGTTCGCTTATTCGAAGATAATAGTAAAGGCATAGAACAAACGATAACAAGTATCACCATTAATTCTTTCAATAATTGCACACCGTACGTTGATTTCGCAAATAAAAGTGTGTTTCCGTTTGAACACAGACATTTTTGGGCCAGCACATATTAGAAGAGCACATATTTTTACAAACAGGATGAAGCTCTTTTTGCGCACATTGGTTCTTATCCAATTGTAAGGTGTTTTGATAATTCGCGCTCAAATTTGGATTTTACGGCTCACGTTTAACAGTCTTCATCGATCAAGGTTCACAATTACAAAGCTTTCTTCGACCAGAGGTTGTTTCGCACCGATCATTTACAGCAAAGCCTAAACATATCATATATGGCTGTCTCACTTTCTGACCATTACGTGCTGTTGCTCCAGAACGTTGTGGAAGAAAACAATCTCCTACGAGAACAATTGCGAAAGTCTACCCAAGAAACTAAGTCTTGCATTGAAGAAATGAAATTCAAGATCGATAATATGCCTGCCGGTGCGGGAAGACGTGTCCGCCAAACCGGGCCTGTGAGGGCTATTCGTGTGTCAAAGCTGTGCAGGGTAAGGTACTTTACATATTCTTGTATATATTATGTCTATAATATATATTTTATTTTAGTTCGGAGGAAGGAGATTGTTGAGGAGATTTTATAACTAACCATATTATAAAATACTACCGCCAAGTTTTACCATATTAAAATTAATTTACTAGCTATTTAAAGTAAGTAAATAAATGCAAATGACAACCTTTTTTACTTTATTAATAATATAATAATAATAATGTTTAATTGATCAATTTTTGCAGTCTTACGACTGAATTGCAATTGAATTTACAGACAAAGAATTTTAGATAAAATATGGAATATGTTTACTATATTTACAACATGTTGCTATAAAATTCTATTAAATTTAAGATTACTGTAAAATGTTCCGCTACGATAAAGTATTAATACTAAGACTATACTAATATGCTAAAAGTTTTGATTTTTTCGCATAATTTGGGATAAAAGAGTAAATAAATGCAAATGGGCAGAATAAATTACTTTAGCACAAAATCGTAATTGCATCGGTAGTTTTTTATGTAAAAATATTCTTTAGAAATGGATGACCAATTGCATGGTTTCAAAAATTATAAAATTAACATACTTCAAAATAAAGTGTGCATGTTTGCACAATTAGGCAACTTTAAATCTAAAATTGTGTCAGCTGTGTATGACTGATGTACATGTCATCCTTCCACAGTATTTTTCTATACTGTGCACCTTGTCATTATATTTTGCAATCAGTGATCATGAGTGAATGTGATTAATTATAACTGAATATTTATTTGTTTGTAGAAGCATTTAAGACCTACTTTAGGTCTTCGAGAGCCTCAAACATTAGAAGTACCAGGGGAACACAGAAAGAGCATGTTGCTAGATGTAGAAGACGTAACAGAAAAGATGAGGTTTGTAAATAATTTATTTGGTATCATACAGTAGTCTAAATTGTCTCCTAAGTTACATGAGTTAATTTCTTTCCAGACAAATAAGGTGTTGGGTAATCAGTGTCAATTTCACACGATAAGACACCCATTTTTAAGTATTTTCTGTATTTTACTGTAGAAACTTGCTCGAAGGTTAAAGCAACTTGAGAAGGCTTGCTATGACGCTCAAAAAACCGCGAAATTTGCAGATGTTATGAAATCTGAGTACATGTCCTCCGAAGAGAGCGAATTTGACGAGTCAACCGAGAACAAAATTGTCAGGTACAATGTGCGAAAGTTAGCCTGGGAGAGTCGATCTATACGAAGGATGAAGAGAAAATTGGACAAACTTCACAATGCATCGCTATCTGACCTTGTCCAGAAGCGAGTTGGAGAACCGTCCACAAGACCAAAGCCGAAAGATTGCCCAGAGTGGGCAGCTTTAGACAATGCTATAGAAAATAATAGTCAATCACTCAACTCAAGTGATACATCTCTAAATGACTCATTTGATGACACTTTTGGTGAATCCTTTTAACTCTTTTGGGAATATATACTATCACTATAACGCACTTCAGTATTGTGTAACTTGTGTGTATTATAAAATAAGATATATAGTCTACCTATTTTATATATTAAAGATTATCTTAACTTTTTTCCTTTTTAATTAAAGACAGCTCATAGGTAAATTTTATTCCCCTTTCATTGACATTTACTAACATTTAGAATACAGCCTTTACTCCTCTTTAAATATAATTTAAGGCGTTTAATTAAAGCCTCCAGAAAACCGTTTAATCAGTATGTGTAAAGGTGCTGAAAGGTACCTTTACATAATTTATTCATATAGATTAAATGTGATGAAAGCATCCAAAAACACATCTTTACTTAACATTTAACAATGATTAAACCCGTGGCGTTCGTCCTGTGTTATTTGCATTCGCCCGCTGCCGGTAAAATGTCATAAAATTATATTAATATTTAGAACTTAGAGCCGTTCATAATCTCATTTGTTGTATTGTTTATTCATATTAGCTGAGCGTGGGCTAGTGTGTTATATCTGTATTATTTAAAAGCGTGATAGATTTTGAATTTTGTAATATTTGTAAAATCATGTTATGTCTGTACGTTTATATGTCTGCACCGTAGAAATAATATCCAGACATGTTTTAATAGTATTATATATTAATGCTTGTTATGTCGCCCGCGTGTTCCTGCTATAAACTTATAAAGCAATTTTGCCTGGACCAAGCTCAATACAATAAAGGTGTGATTTATATCGAATCAGCTAGTAAACTGTAAAATATAACTAATTTCATCAATCTAGGGGGGGGGAGCGAAAATTCTTCTTATTCCGTAAACCTAGTATTGACCTGCGAGAATTTTGACTAACGTAAAGAAATCCTAGATCCGCCCCTGGGTGTAATATTTTGTTGTATCCTTTGTCAATCCCTTTTGAACATTCATACGGAATTTTAGATTGGCAAATCAATATTAAAGAATTGAGCTTTCAATGTCTGACATCTCATATAAAGGAAAAATTTATTGCTATTTTGGACAATTGTTTTGAAATTTTTTGAACTAAATGAGATGAATTGCTGGTCTAATATTCTGTTGTATCCTTTTTCAATCCTTTCTGAACATTCTTACTGAATTTCCAGTCTAGGAAATCAATATTAAAGAATTTAGCTTCTAAAATCTTTCACCTCATATTGGGGAATAATGGCTATTTTAGACAATTGTTTTCAAATTTTTTGAACTGAATGAAATGAATTGCTGGTCTAATATCCTTTGGTATCCTTTGTCTATCTCTTCTGAACATTCGTAGTGAATTTCAAGTTCAGCAAATCAATATTAAAGAATTTAGCTTTCAAAACCCAACACCTCATATAAAGGAAAAATTGCTATTTTCGACAATTGTTTTCACATCTTTTGAACTAAATGAAATTAACTGCTGGTCTAATATTCTGTTGTATCCTTTGCCAATCTCTTCTGGACATTGTTACTGAATTTCAAGTTCAGCAAATCAATATTATAGAATTTAGCTTTTAAAATCTTTCACCTCATATTGGGCAAAAATGGCTATTTTAGACAATGGTTTTCAAATTATTTTAACTGAATGAAATGAACTGCTGGTCTAATATTCCGTTGTATCCTTTGTCAATCCCTTCCGAAATTTCTTACTGAATTTAAAGATCAGCAAATCAATATTAAAAAATTTAGCTTTAAAAATCTGACACCTCATATAAGGGAAAAATTGCTATTTTGCACAATGGTTTTCAAATTTTTTGAACTGAATGAAATGAATTGCTGGTCTATTATTCTGTTGTATCCTTTGTCAATCCCTTCTTAATGATCTTACTGAATTTCAAGTCTAGGAAATATTTATTAAAGAATTTAGCTTTCAAAATCTGACATCTCATATAAGGGAAAAATATCTATTTTGGACAGTTGGTTTCAAATTTTTTGACATGAATGAAATGAACTGCTGGTCTAATATTTTTTTGTATGCTTTTTCAATCCCTTCTGAACATTCTTGCTCAATTTGAAATCTAGCAAATCAATATTAAAGAATTTAGCTTTCAAAATCTGACACCTCATATAAGGGAAAAATTGCTATTTTTGACAATTGTTTTCAAATTTTTTAACTCAATGAAATGAATTGCTGGTCTAATATTCTGTTGTATCCTTTGTCAATCCCTTCTGAACATTGTTACTGAATTTGAAGTTCAGCAAATCAATATTAAACAATTTAGCTTTTAAAACCTGTCACCTCATGTTGGGCAAAAATGGCTATTTTAGACAATGGTTTTCAAATTTTTTGAACTGAATGAAATAAACTGCTGGTCTAATATTCTGTTGTATCCTTTTTCAATCGCTTTTGAACATTCTTACTGAATTTAAAGTTCAGCATATCAATATTAAAAAATTTAGCTTTAAAAATCTGACACCTCATATAAAAGAAAAATTGCATTTTTGCACAATGGTTTTCAAATTTTTTGAAAAATTACTGGTCTAATATTCGGTTGTATCCTTGGTCAATCCTTTCTGAACGATCATACTGAATTTCAAGTCTAGGAAATATATATTAAAGAATTTAGCTTTCAAAATCTGACATCTCGCATAAGGGAAAAATATCTATATTTTGGACAGTTGGTTTGAAATTTTTTGACCTGAATGAAATGAACTGCTGGTCTAATATTCTGTTGTATGCTTTTTCAATCCCTTGTGAACATTCTTGCCCAATTTCAAATCTAGCAAATCAATATTAAAGAATTTAGCTTTCAAAATCTGACACCTCATATAAGGGAAAAATTGCTATTTTGGACAATTGT